TCACGCCGCCCCCGCGGCGGCCTGCACGCCGCCTCCCGCCGCCGGCCCGGGCGCCTGCCCGGCGGCGGCGGCCGCCAGCGCCTCGGGAGGGGGCATGTTCTTGAGCATGCGGTTCAGGCTGGTGAGCTTCTCCGCCCTCGGTCGCGGGAGGCCGTCCGCCGAGACGGCCGGGATCGTCTGATGCTGATGGTGATGGCGATGATGCTGCTGCTGCTGCTGCTGCTGCTGCTGCTGATGATGATGATGATGATGATGATGATGATGATGATGATGATGATGATGATGACGATGGGCCCGCTTGCTTCGCTTGATCGAACCAGCACTACGGAGGGAGGGGCCCGGGTGCATCATCTGACAGCCTGGGTATACCACCGCGCGGAGCGCGCATGGGAAGCACGGCGTGGCCCAAAACGCGGGGCCACAGGGGGGACGAGGGCGTCGGCTGGCGGCAGCGGCTCCGTGAAGGGGGGGGCGCCGCCATGCCTCGCGTGAAGGTCGCCGTCGAGGTAGGAGGGGAGGAGAGGAAGAAGGAGGAGACGAAGGAGGAGGGGCGGAGGGGAAGGAGGGAAGGAGGGGAGAGGGAGGAAGAGGAGGAGGAGGAGAAGGAAAAAGGCCTTTCTGCCCAGAGACCCCCACAGCGCCGAGCCGGGACCCACGGGGGGGGGCCGGCCTCAGCGCGCCCGCCGCCATCGGCGGCGCGTGTACAACGCAGACCGGATCAACAACCAGGGGTACAACATCATCAACCAAATGGTGATCATCCTTGTCTACCGCGTTAAACACGTGGAGACGAACCACCGCGACTACTGCGTCACGCACCAAGGGAACACTAGCCGCGGGAAGGACAGCATCCAGGCCTACAAGATCTACTACCAGCTGCAGACCCACAAGAGCCACGGAGTACTCAGGCAATGAAAGAAGCCTCGAGAGGGCCTGGCACAGAAGCTTACGAGCCCACGAGCTCAAGACCGTTCACTACTTGCCACACCTGCCGCGAGAGAACGACTTGCCAAGCACCACGGATCTGTGGCGCCAGGCAGCAGGCACCGCGATCCCGAGAAGGACGCCTACCACGACAGGCGGAGTACAGAAAAAGAGACGCCAACGACATCATAGCGGGCCCCAGAAGAGCGCGTACGCCAAGACCTGCTGTTGGCGCCCCAGCTTCAAGAGCATGGGACAACGAGCCCCCTGATACCAGCCCTGACCTAGTCAGGACGATACAGATGACGGTCGTGGAGGCATTCTCAAGCTCTGCACACACAACAACCAAGATGCCGTTCAAAAGGAGGATTGCCCGAAGCTGGAACGAAAGCCCCAGAGCGAAAACGCAAGCACAAGCGCCAGATTGAGACCGACACGAAGCACTTCAAGGACGAACTGGCAGCACAGACGCCACTCCTACAGAGCGAGATCGACAAGGTCGAATACCAAGCTGAGTGGTACCACTGCGAGCAGCACAAAGCCCACCAACAGGAAATCGAGTCTGGAGTTGATCAGGAAAGACAGACCATGTAAAGCCAGGTACAAGACCTCACTTCTTCAGCTGCTACGTGCTACGCAGAGAATACCCACAGCAGCAACACTCGAGATGCAACCGATTACTCTCAGGAAGTACAGGCACTGCGCAAACAACTCCTGGGACCGTACACTTGCCAATGAACAGGCTGAATTTCGAAAGTCGAACAAGAAGCTCCTATTGCTCACAGAGGAGTACAACCACGACCGCATCAAGTCCGAGAACACAGAGATAAAGATATGGGCTGCAGTCAAACAAAAAGAAGCAAGACGAACAGGCACTCACACAAGCAACCAAGAGGATGCAACACCTCAACGACATGACCCAGTACATGAGGAACGAACACTGAGGACAGCATGGCCCGAAAAACGACCACCTTGAAACAGAACATCGAGAGCACGGATTAAACTCCTCCGTCATCAGATCCGAACGACACGATGCAGCAACCAGACTTACATCGCAGGGCCTACCTGGACCATCAGTACACCATTAATACATGCAACAGCTACTGAAAGAACATACGCAGACCAAACAAGCAGCAGAGCACATTGCTCAAATACGACTGGAGGCCAGCAATGCAAACTACTCCAGGCAGAAGGACAGAGGTACACTGAAACGGCCGGAAATTTGAAGCACACCGAGGACCGTATGCAGCTTATACATGACCAAAAGATGCAAGAACTGCAGCGTCAATTCAAGAACCGAAGGGTACGATGAACCTCGAGTACCATACATGACGTACTGAATACAGAACACTATCGGAGGAACAGGCAAAAGCGACGGCCCATATGCAATGCATGCTACAACGATCAGAATGCAACGCCGCAGAACGGCTGGACATCGACGCCGCAGACTGCAATGCATGATACAACGATCAGAGTGCAACAGACCAGTGGAAGGGCAGGCAGTCCGAATTCAAGGAAGCGATGCACGATGCTACCAGCCAAGCGCCTGTGACCGACTACAGCTGATATTACGAGCAGCAACAAGGATGTCGTTACCTTGCAAGTGGCGTTTACCCGTGGAGGACGCATGGAACCCCGAGGACGGGAGGAATCCACATCAGGAGATGTTATCTCGAGATGGAATGTACGATACGACTCAAGCAAGAATCACGCGAAGCCCAAACGTTCCACGAAGGACCCCTACAAAGACCTACGGCGCAACAAGCTGACACCTACGACACCAACAGACCGTATCAGAACATGGACCTCACCAGAACCACACTTCGCTGGACGTGGTAAAGACGCTGAACGACATTGTGAAGAACAGAACCTGAAAGCAGCCCTAACCAGGATCATCGACACGGACTCCGACCTAAATTCACAAGAGACGGAGAAGAAGACCCCGTAGATGTACCACATGTGCGATGGCGGTACTCCTGACCACCAATCGGAGCACGATAACAACAACGGAGACATGCTGCTGATCTAGACGCTTACATCCATACTACAACAACACGAGCAGGACCAGCAGAGTGAGTACCACCAGCATCATATTGCGGTCCACGAGGAGGATATGCAGCTGATGGCGCAACAACTGCCCACGCCTACTAGCGAGATTGTGGAACGAGACCTCGCACTTCAGGAAGCAACGGCGGACGATGGCGAGCAAGAGCATCCAAAACGGGAACGAATACATCACTGGAGCAGAAGAAACCAACTCGTGCCACACAGCGTAGAGGGAGAGCAACATCAGCTTTAGGGGTACACTCCATCAGTAGGAAGACCTCGGGAACTGCAGGGACAACACGTGCTATTCACATGCTACATCAAGGAGATTAGCTGGTACAATCACACCCGGAACAATGCCGCCACGACCCAGAAGGATTGCCGCAACCCCCACCGCCACCACACCCACCCCCAACACCACCGCCGAAGAAGAACCACAGCACACTGGTTCCACCAAAGGAGACCGTTCATGTCGACGACGCTGTCCGAATCTTTCGGAGCTAGCCCAAGCACGGTCCCTGACAGAGGATTCAACGACATCGAAGCCCCCGATACCAATGCATGTGCACGACACGCACGCTTCGACCTGGACCCAGAGACTACATGTTAGCAAGGACCAGGAAGACCTACAAGACGCAATGTTCGCGCGATCTCACACTAGAAACCATCGCTTATTCAGATCGTCTACGCTGCAATAGATTCGCAGCAGTAATGGACAACGAATCTAAACATAGTGCCAGCCAGTACGAAGACCGCATCGGGGACGCGGTCCACACGGCACCTCCAATGGAGCGTACTAGTACTCATGTCAAGACTGCCGAAGATAGTTCTACATTACATCAACTGTGCCGTACAGTTTGAATCTAACAACGGCTGTTTCGTACTAGGCCGTACAAGGGCAACAACACCTCTACCCCCCACAGCAGCTACCACAGCCACCGCCACAGCGGAAGACCGAGACAGGCATGAAAGTCAGGACTGTGGCATACAAGATCCTCACCCTCAACGGCAAGGACGAACGCGGCCAGCCAGGACTCCTGCAACCACGCAAAAGCAGGAAAGTTGGGGAGCAAATCGTGTCTTCCTGGCAGGAATACAAGAAACAAAGCGCAAACAAAGACAGCAATACGTCAAAGGATGCATTGCGATTCAATATGGAGCCGAGAAAAGATAATACGGCGCAGCCTTTTCATCAACACAAAACATCAACTATGCATCAGATCGAAAAAACGACTACTACAGCTAGCAGCTAGGACACGCACATAAAGATACAGCCAAAAAAGACTCGACTTCTCTAGTACTACTGGACGCCCCATGTTTCAACCACATCGCTCTGGCCGAACACGCACCACATGTGCATACCCAGCCAGCTACAAGGTACACTGATTGGCAACTACTCACGGACGCAATCCACAACTGAGAACCCAGGGCAACATTCTTTGATAGCGACGGGAGGGTTGGCAGCCAGGCAGGTTGGAGACAGAAGATGGAACGAGGAAGAGAACGAAAACGGTACGTACCTGTACCACATGCTTCCCGAGACGAACATATACACGGTGAATACACTTCTACCACACGACGACGGATACACATGGTCATCAGCGAAAAAAGGCCCAATCCACAGGATCGACTAGATCATAGTTTGAGAACAACTACTCCAATGTGCGGTGGGCAATGCCACGCAGAGGGACTATGGCAGGATGACGGACAATGAGGCCCACATATCGACAATCGTTGACTTTGGGGGAAAGACCGATGCTGCCCGCCGAATACACGACCGATTCCAGCACGACAAGGCCAAGCTACGTGAACTGGGCAGCACGAAAATGTTTGGAAAGCCACTGGAAGCGCAAAAGCGACCTCCCTGGGACACAGATGTCAACGAACACTTCACATCCACAGAGGAGGCCATTCGCCAGGCAGCGAAAGAAACCTACCGGAAGATAGGATGACGCCGAACAAGGACGAGCTATCCGCAAAAGCGATGCGGCTCATCCGACTGCGTAGACAAAGAGGCCACAAAACTAACCAAAGCAAGCTTGACATCCGCCAACGCCTCCAGAGCACAAGAAACCTGGGAGACAGCGCCTGCAACGGAGGGAGGTGAAGGAGCCAACAACTAATGCAAGCAATTGGAGACTACCAACGGTGGAAGCTCACAGCGCA